CCCCCCCCCCACGATTGCCAACTGAAAAAAAAGAAAAAAATTTTACTCCTGGGCTAATTTTCAGTTTTGTCATTTATAAAAGTTGCCAGGAATTCTTGAATGCATATATTCCTGCACAACAGAATATCCATTTATTTATCTGATATACAGTTGCAGGACAGTCTCAAAACCAATTTTTTGTGTACTATGCTATTATCAAGGTGCTGCCTCTATCTCACATGCAACACTATAAGCATTAATGCAGTTCAAAACAAAATTTGGCATTTACTTCACCAACGGGTTTTATATTTGATGTCATAAAACATCCCTTGGTCTCATGTTAACCAATAAGAAAAATGGACATACACAAAAAATGCCCCCTTTCTAAAGATATTAACTCCCAATTAGGAAAATTTAGATAGGTTTTACAAAGTCGTCTAGGCTATTTTGATACATACAAATTATTCAACTAAAGGTTAAAATACACTTATACAATACAGTCCTGACCTCCATATTATTTTTCAAGTTCTTTGCATATTCAAACCAAGTAAAATTAACACTTGTCATTTTCTTTGTTATTGCAATTATTAAGAGGGATTACAGCTTGCTTATGCAAAGCTGTGACAAAACACTTGAGAAATAAAACCCAAACATTTATCTTGTTACCCAAAAAATGTTGCAGAAAATTGTCAAACTATGTTAGAAACAATTTTTACAAAAATGCCTCACTCAGAAAAATTGGAAAGCTTAAAAAATTAATCTTTGCACAAGACTATATTATACTGTCCTTAATTATGTTCCCATTTAGATAACTGGGATTCTCATTCTTTGTACATGGACCTATCAGTGATGTATGATGCTCTCCATCTTTTTTCACTGTTATCTTTATTGTACACCATTTCGAGACTTATACAATCAAGCACTTATCATGCCCCTACCCATTTTTAACAGTAGATTTCTTATCCTGCCCAGTGAGTAGTGTACTGTCTTGCATATTCACCACATGAAAAACATAATATACAAAATATTGCTGCTGTAAAAAGTGTGCATTTCCCCCTTTCCCCCTACAAAAAAAATCTGTGGAAAAAATATTAAATTCCCATAACCTTCATAAACATACAAAGCTGTTCGCACCTTTCAGTCTGTAACAGTCTATTTGACATACAGTTCTCAACTCACTGCAAATTGTTATGTCACATATTTTCTGTCCAATATTGCCATCTAGAGTAGAGATGTGAAATCAGTTTCTGAGAATCTACAGTCTTTAACAATTAACCCATAAAGACTGTATACCATAAAACAGCCACAAGATTTTTCCAAAAGCTAGATGGAATGGGAGGTTCTCATCTCAGGAACATGTCCACAGTGCTGAGGAGACAATATGGCTGCTAACAGATATTGCCTACTGGAATGTGAGTACTTTTTCACTGTTGATAATTCCCATACTGACCCTAAAAAAAAAAAACAACAAAAAAAACAACAAACCACATCAAAATACATCATTAGACCACAAGGCATATTTTCCTGTATTAAAAGCTGAAATCAGAAGACCATCCAAATAAACTATGAAGTTAAAAGGTGGAAACAAATAACAATAAATGATAAACCAACATGAGTAAGTGGTACAGTTTCATCTCACTAAAAAACCTTTGTGTTTTAATGTAAAAAGTAAGACGGATGATATGGATTTAAAGCCAGGAACCTAATTTGACCAGAAAAGTATACCTTTGGATTCAATAGACTACTGTGAAATTTGCAGAACAACATCAGAAATAAAAGATGGGAATTACTTCCCACCTAAACTTTGAAAATTATTTCAAAAAGACAAGGTCACCTAAATTCAAAGTAATTTAGGAAACTAACCTGCCTTCAGAGATACCTAAAAATATTCATGTATCAAGCATCACAGAATGGACTGATACATGTATCTCAAAAACCAAGGCACATCCCAGTGAACATAAAGAACTAGTCAACATATCCTATGGGAATCAATTACTCCATACATCCGACACATAGAATTATTACCCTTATTGATATTCTCTATTTCTTTTGACAGAATGTCATGTACTGCAGAGGAGGGCAGAGGTGAAAGCATCAACGCTACATGCTTACCATGATCCTTCACCACAGGGTTCAAGGCTTGCACACAAGTAGTGTGCTAGGAAGCGAACATTCTCCAAACCGCAGTCCTGCCACCATTCCACATTAAGTACCATCATGATAAGGCAGTATTTTAAATTCCAGTTTTATGTTACAATGCCAGTTTTTTCCATTGTAATATGGCAATCAGTCAGGAAGAAGAGTTTCAGAACAGCTGCCAGATGAGAATTTAAGCAGCGCAATTCCTATGGGAATGGCTAGTATGAAAGAGAGGTCTTCTATAATGGAGTTTCCCAGTGGAACTTAGGCTCTACTCCTCCAGTTTGTGCAGTCTATCTACAGAGAGGGTTATCCACTTCTACTGCAAAGAAAGCTGGAAGAAACTCAGCAAATTGAGATTAAGTTTCCTTGACCCTACATTTGCCACAAGAAAAGCATTTTCCTGTAGCTTATTATTTGCAGGAGGAAGCTATTAGTTCAGTGCATAAGCATTTTGTTTATCTGTTAAATAATTAGAAGTAATTGCATCTCTAAACTACCACACTGAAAGAGTTCGTTCCTTCTTCCTTGTATTTTCTAATTTCTGTAGAAAGGAAGCCAACTCTTCTCCTTTAAAAATGCAGGCAATTGTGGCTATTCTTATTTCCAAGGGAAAGTTCTTCTTGAAAGTTCAACTCATCTTCTACTGACATATCAGGATTTTATTTAAACACTAGAACCTCAACTTGATTGTAAGGTATATTTAGTTAATCTCCATTTTATTTATGCTGAGAAAGTAATAGCGTATGTTTTAATGATATTTCTGGATTCATATTGCAAATATTAATTTTTACAGTTTAGTACCTTCTACAGGAATAAAACCTCCATTTCATCCTTTAATTAGAAGACAGTTTTTTTATAGGAGTCCTCCACTACAACTCCAGCCTAAAGTTGTGGTGGTTCTTGTTTGTTTTAAACTTATCTTAGCAGTGATAAGAAAGCAGCAGTTGATTTGCAGGTCACCTCTTTCCCATGTTTAGTGTTCCTTTACATTGCCTGGAGAAAATCTGTGCAAAAATAGGCTTCATGTCTCCCTACACAGCTTTACAGTAGAAGGACCTCTGTTGCACACCTGAAGCTATTCTGCAACTGGAGAGGATTTGTGTTTGTGGAAAATCAATTCAACCATTTTTATTGCAAAGCAGTAATGAAGAATGATCTACCATGAGATTTAGGAACCTCATCTTTCATAGTAGACATTCACCATGAGGCTATGAAACAGATCACCTTAATTTTTAAGGTCCAAAAATATTGCCTGGAGGGCCTCACTTTGCCAAACTGCATTAAAACTTTGCAAACGCAGAAGAGAATGACTAATCACACCTCAAGACAAATGGTTCTGGGTAACTTGCCTGGAAATAAAGTCCCTGAGAATTGTATATACACACCTGACAGACCATGTCCTCAAGTTTGTTAGTTTAAACGTCCACAAGAAACTAAGATTATCAAATGAGTGTGTAAGAATCACAACTTTCTCATCAAATGAAAGAATACCTGGTCATATCCATAAGGCCTCTGCTGTGGTGGCTGTGGTGGCCCAGGCTGTGTGGGTCTGTATCCCCCATACTGCTGGCCTTGTCCTTGTGGATAATTGGGATACTGAGGTCCTGGACCACTCTGGGAGGGGCCTGGAGATCATTAAAATGGAAACAAACAAACAAACAAAAGAAAGATTGCTTAGGATGTTAGGAAAAAGAACAGTAAAACCATTGAATTTTACAATTGAGCAAGGCTGCAAGTATCACTACTGTGTAATTAGGTCTCTTCCTACTTAAAAACCTAACAGGGATCAGTGGTGCTCCCCTCACCCTGGAAAAGCACCTTAGCTGACAGGGCCTGTGCTCCAACCACAGAAACCTTTACCTTTATTGATATATTAATTATTTATTATCAATGCATGTAGTTCCACACATGAGGTCATAGGACAGGGAAGAACAAGGCAAGAAATGACAAATCACAAAGACGAGCACTTCCAGGATTTAGGGAGGCACGCTCTTCTCCTGCTGTATGCTGCTCCAGTTCCAGAAATTTGTAATGCCAGGAGCAGCCAGATGATCAGCTGCATTTAGCATTTGGACCTTTTGAAGATACTAGCAGTGCTGCACTGCTTGAAAGTCAGTTCTCACACTACAGCAGGCAATCATAAATGGGATGTCAGACAAGCAAGTTACATGCATAAAATGTGAGATGTAACAACAGTAAACACTATTGTGGGATGGAAAAAGGCACCCTCTACTCCATACTCATCTGGTCATCTTAACTTTCTAGGAAAAGGGTATTAAAAAAGCCTTTGGCTCCAGCCTTTTTTGGCTGTAAAAGGAAGCTGTTCTTTTGTCAATAGAAACTCTTTCTGTTACTACTCACAGGGACTCAGCCTGCCTACCATTGGAAGCTGCACATTACTACCATCAGGCAGTGCAGCTGTGTTCTAAACAAAATTAACCTCATCCCCTGCCTTGGGAGAGGTAGTGTACTGTGTATTTCAGTGACACTCCATATGGATCTTTTGCAATGGATCTAAGTTAGCTTTTTCAACACCACCCCTTAAAAACTGGCACAGTCAGCAAGATATGCAACTCTTCAGAATTACTTTCTTTTAAACAAACCAACACCATTTTTTCCCCCCCCTCAGAAAAAACAGATGAGTATTAGCAATAATGTAATTCAGTGCTAGAGAAGGCTACTTTTAGCTACGTTAAGATGACATCAGCTGGTAACTCCTTCAGTAATTCTGGATCTATAAGACAGTCAAAAAGATGACCTGGAGAAGAAAAGCTCCATATGCTATTACCATTCTCCTCAGGCCTCAGATCCCCTTGAACTATGCAGTTTCAGCTTTCTACAGTGGAACAAAACCTTAAAGATTGATAATAATGACTGGGATGCTGATTTATTTTTGCAAATTAGAAAGCAATTAAATATTAAATGGAGCAAGGACACTACATCCTAAAAAGTGCTGTGTTCATCTGACAAATGAAACTTGGTTTTATTTATTCATGGTGATTTTTTATAGTTGAATTCTAAATATTCAGTGACAGGTTTTATTAAATAAAAATGGAACTTCAATATAGAAATTGAGAAGTATGCTATTTGGGTTTACAAATTATGGTGGGTAAGTCGCTCCGACAGATTTCTTCATTCCTTTCCTCTAGTATTTCTTAACCCAAATTTTCAGAGTAAGTCAGATTTTATTTCTTTACTTACAAAATTTAGAATAGTGAGCTAGATGGACCTTCACTCTGATCTTCATTCTGTTACTATGTTATGTTTAGCAGAATATAAGTACGTGAATATTATTTTAGAACTATCAATTCATCCATAACCTCCAAAAGGAGAAAACTTGCTAAAGATCCTCTTGAAACTTAACTCTGTCTCATTAATATTGTATTTAATGCAAATCTGGCATTTATCTACATGGCAAACAAGTCATCCATGCGCTTCCTTGCATACCCACAATGCTGAAAATTTTAGCACTTAAACCTGCAACAAAACTAAAAGTTAAAATATATGGAATTAGATTTCAGATTCCTTCTTCTGCGATAAGTATGTTCAGCTTTACAATATGCAAGCAAGTAAAACTTAAAAGAGCAGTATTTTCAGCATGGTCTTCTGACCTCAAGTTTTCAGAAGTAATGCACAAAAATTACATGCTACAAGTTTCCTGTTTGGGAGGTTTTCCCTGAACCCAAGGACTACATTATCTCACCTGTGGCAGAGGATTTCTCATTCCTGCCATACATCAAAAGGTTTGCACTACTAGTGCAAATTTATATGACAAACTTTCTTGAAAGCTGCATTGGCAATGCTTATATTCATTTCCTTACTGATCAGTACAAGAATTTTAAAAGAATGATTCATGTATGTTGGATGAAATTTTAAATTAGTTTTTAGAAGATTTTGCCCTAAATGGCAAGTCCAAGGATGAAAGGGTATAAATGGCTCTTTGCGATCTTTATGCCCTCCTGACCATGTTCACCTACAGAGGACAGAAAAGAGCAGAGTCTTTCTGTGTCTTTCTGAATTACAGACACCTGTTATAACATTGTCTAGTCAGTCACCTTCGTTTTTTTTCTACCACATGGTCCTAGATTGCCAATAGATCTACTTCCCAAAAGATACTGTCTTCTACACTTTCTTGTTTCGGACCAGTGAAATTGCAGGCATACAGCTTTTTTGGACAAGCCTGGCCTTTCAACCCAGTAAAAACAGGGATAGAATAACATATGAGGATCTCTCTCAGTCTTTTCTGTCATTGCTCTCTGTGTCTTCAGGTTCTTACCATAACCCTGCTGTTGTCCTGGATAGCCCTGTTGGCCTGGATATTGCTGCTGTTGTGGTGGATAACCCTGCTGTTGGGGTGGTCCTTGATATGCATCTTGCTGCTGACCATATTGTGAGTTTCCTGTAAAATCATTGGAAGAAAGCAAAAACTTATAAAGATACCTACTTTATTAATTTTTTCCTTCTAAGATGCACAGCCAACAACACAAGAACAAAATGAAAATGCAATACTGATTTCAAAAACTGAAGAAAACAAAGAAAACTCAAACCAAACAGAAGGAATTCGGCCAAACAAACTGCAGTTAAAGCCAATTTTGCAAAGTTGAACTGCAGCATTTTCAGCATCTCTGCCAAACGAGCATTACATTTACTGGAACATCACAGTCATAAGATCATGACTATGCTAAATAAAATAAAAAAAGACAAAATTAAGGACAGCTACAAGAGCACAGACTAGCTACACAAGATCAGCAAGCTGTTTCCTAACGGCACTATAATTATACAAAATATATACACACACAAAAAGATATACAACTGAACCAACAAATTTATGTTTAAATAAAAATTTCCATTGAGGTAAAAAAAAAAAAAATATCTAGAGTGTTTTAGTCATTTTACTGTTGTTAGAAATGGCACATTGTGGTTATATATTTTAGGTGTTTGCAAGAAATTATTCTGAATGCTTCAAGTTCCCTGCAATTTTCAAGACAGGCAGCAACTAGTATTCTACAAGAGCTTTGCATGGGTTTAAGTCGTGTTGTGTAAGAATTTTTGTTCCCGTTGCAGGTGGGGGAGGAAAGGGAATGTATGTGCGTATGTGTGTGAAGGTATATAGATACCTCCTTCGTAGTAATGTTGTGAGGAATCCTCATAAGGCCTATCGTAGCCTTGTTCAGGATACGACGGTTGCTGATAACCGTAATCATTATGACCTACATCAATTCGACAAGAGACAGGAAGAAACGTTAATGGCCTCTGAGTGAAAACGCTAAAAATATTTCATTTCTCAGAAAAATGAAAAAAATTTCAACTGGATATACATGAAAAAGAATTTTCAATTGTATTAGCCAAAGACTTATTAATATGATTTCCTTTCATATTGAATTAACATGTGACAGGAAAAAAAAAAAAGGCTTAGTGCAGTAGTTTTAGCAACATCACAGCAAGGGATGGTCTTAACCTTCTGATAATCCTTGTTGGGGGGGCAGGGGGGAGAAGTACTTTATCTTTCACTCAAAAAAAAAAAAAAAAAGGAAAGCATTTAGGCCTTTCACATGTAAATAACCTGAATTAAATTAGAATGAACAAAGAAAGCAATTATCATACTTTGTCTAACACCTGTTCTGCTGATCTCCAATTCAAAAGCATATGCTAAAAGCAGTGTGAAATATAACAAATAAAGCTCAATGAAGTTATGAACCACAGTCTACATTAGATTTTGCTTTTAAGTGACAGAAAAACAACATTCTCAAGGTTTTCCCTACAAACAGAATTCCTACAAGTCTTAAGAAAACTATTCCTCTTACATTCCAGTCCTGAGTAGGATCATTACAAACAAACCTTTCTTTTCAGAGACTACAGGCATCTCTGATTAAGAAACCAATATATGCAGTAAGCACCCCACCTGTTGTTGTTTTCAGAACAAATATATTTTGTCTTACAGATGACCAAAATATATCTTTTTGCTAACTTGGTCAAGAAAACAAGCCAAAATTGTGTTTTAATTTGAAATTAAATTATACAAATTATATAAATTTGGAATAAAATTTTAGAATAAAAATAAGGAAAGGAGAAAATAGTTCTAAAACTAAGTGGTCTTTGTAATTAGTTCTGCAACTGTACCATACGTCATTGACTGAATCTAATATAAATACATAACAATTAAAACAAGTCTTATATTCTTTTTAAGTTCTACATAAGAGTAATAATGAGGTAATGATCAAGAATGAATCTTTAGAAGGAACGGGTCTAAGAAAAGTAATCTGTGCTGCCACAGAGCTGTTGATGGTAACATTGAATTGCCCTTACTAAATTAAATTGCCTGTAACCATTTAAAGTTCATGAGTATAACATAAAAGTTCCAAAATGAAAGCTTAATAATTAAGAGTTAATGCAACTTGGAAAGTAACTCTGCACGTGTATCTCCAAAAATAACACATGTAAGCTTCTATAGACATGGCTTGATGTAACTTAAAGTCAATTTAATAGAAATTAAAACTCAAACAACTAACTTGTATCCTTTTATTTACAATAAGTAGTTGCTTTGGCAATTACACAGCTTTGCTTTGTATACATTTTTAAAATGTTAACATCTACCACATTCCTTGAACTTCGTAAGATACCATTAAGTTGCACACACGGTTATCACAGTAGTCATGAGTCAGCATCTTTGTTCTCCCAGTCTCTGCTCAGCCTAAAAACAGGTTAATTACAACTTTTCTAACTTATAACGCAATCCAATAGCCTTCAGCACTCTAAATTTCAAGAGGTAGGAGGACAGATATATGAAATTCAAAGTTCTGGTCTTGTCTTGAAAGTACTAGCGGGACTTCTAAAGAGGATTCACAATTACAATCTCCTCAGGGCAGGGACCATTTTATTTCTTTGTAAAAATTAAACTAAAGGCCCATACCATAGCAGCAATAACACATTTGTGCGACTTATATGAAAACTAAACACTAAGTTAAAAAATAGAATATTTACAGAAAAACCACATCTTTGTAGCAAGTTTTTCCACTTCAATAAAATCTTTAATAAAAGGATATCGCCCCATCTCTTATTTATAAGAAAGTTATGACTGTTTTAATTCATCTCAATTATATTAGATATGCTAAGGAACCTTCCATGCTTTTAGATAAACCAATTGCAGAACTTCATTTTGAAATACTAAAACTGTTGTTAGAGATTCAAATGGGAGTATTAGAAATTACATGCTTTGAGTAGTTGTATAATTAACTAGTCATAGTAACTTAAACTGTAGTAACAATTCTGAATTTGGAAAGTTTTGTGAATGTGAGGTATGATATCCAATTACTATTCTTGCCTTATTCCCTAATTTTGGGCATATGACTACATTAGTATTGGGCAGGTATAGAAAATGGGAAAGTTAACATTTATGAGAGATTACCATCAGGGTAATATTGCTGGTTCATGCCTTCTGGAGGACCTTGTCCACCATGACTGTATTGGTCCCCATAATAGTCTTCCTGGCCTGAGTACTGCTGTGGTGGGCCTGAAAAACCACAACCAGTCAATACGTAAATAACTTGTTTTCTCTGTTATAAAGCCTGCTAATTTCTGATTCTAGTATGAGAAATATTTCTCAAATGTACTCCCCACCCATATCGTTGCATTTCAGACAACATATGTAATCTGGTTTACTTAAAAAAAAAAAAAAAAAAAAAAAAAAAAAAAAAAAGAAAAAAGATCTCTATATACACACACACACAGAGTTGTTTGGCTGCACTAGATCGAGCACATAATATATCAAACTTCAGTTTTGAGCTCATTTTAGGAACATGTGTATAACAGACTGTGTTAAAAATAAAGTTATTCCTTTTCTAAAAGGACTGGAAGGAAAAAAAAAAGAAAGAAACAAGATTGTGCAACATTGTTCCTTTTTTGTAATTGAGCAAATTCAGAACGAAGCAGGTACTCTGTTCGTTTTCTGTACCTATCATTTAAATATCGAAACAGAATTCTGCACCAGCATATCTGAGATGTGTATTTTTATACACTTTTTGTCAGAAAGAACTCAAAACAAAGAAATACTTGTCTTCACGTTTCATGGTGATACCAGTAATCTGTTGCTGCAAGAACCACCCTTAAAAGGATAACAAAAAGAGTCTGCAAACAAAGTCTGTGACACCCAATGACTTGATCAGAATTTGGTGTAAGCAAGGAAGTGATTTAAAATAGTTTTAAAGATGGTTATTTAAAATCAATGTAAAAACACTGAAGTTAAGTCCTACCTTGCTGTGGCGGCCTGTATGGAGGAATCTGTCTCTGACCCATCATGTGATTTCCTTGGTTAACTTGGCCCATCATTCCCATAGGTGGCTGCTGCCCCTGGTAATGCTGGCCACCTGCTTGTGGCATGTTGTATTGCTGGGAGGGAGGCTGCTGGTGCATCATTGGACCTGCAAAACGAGAAGTAGCAAATATGTTGTCTGTAACACATGATTTGTGATTAAATCTTTCAAAAAGAACATTGAAAACCCAACCTTTAATAAGGCTGCTTTCTAGATGATTTTTCTTCAAACTACACAAACATCAGTTTATTCATGCACAAAGATAACTGAAACGCTTTCGCCATTTTTTGTTTGTTTTAAAAAGCTCCTGCAAAGCGTAGATGAAAACCTGACAGTGAAACCTTGGTAAGTCATAGAAAAATCAGTCAACATTGTAAACTCTTCATGGCATAATTTTAATACACGTGTAGTTGCTGTTGTAGTTCATCAACAAGCTCTTATCACAAAATAAGCAATTTTATTTAGCCTGTAAAGACAAACCATGTGTACCAGTAAGTCAGGCAATCACACAACAGGCAGTATGCAGAAAGGCCCACAGGAATATATGCTCTGCCCTCCACTGAACAGTCCCAAGCAGCCTGTAACAAAAAGCTTCTTTCATACCAAGATGCACCAAGTTTCTGTGAATCACAGAAAAAGACCAGGAGAGATCAAGTACTGTCTATGTTTTATCAACTGAGAAAATCTGATTAAGGCTGAACTTGGGAGAAATGCAAACTTCAGTAATGAAAACAGACAGTTAAAAGAGCACCCTATTGACACCATACAGCAAAGAAAGTTATGGTTACACCATTTCGTTATATGAGATTGCAGGTTACATTGATTTAACAAAGAACAGCTTCTTCACTTCCTCTGTAGTTCCACTTCAGAAAAGTTATTCCAGTATAAAAATATGAGGAGGAAAGAGTTGTGACAAGGAGTTAAACTTCTTAAACAACATATTTTTATAATACATTAATTCAAACCACTTAACACATATTGCACACTTCCTAATGGTGAAACCCTAAGCTTTTTTTTCCTTTTTAAAAAATTTATTTTATAAACTACTAAGACAACAACTAACCAATATCACAAATCAAACCATCAAACTAGCACAGCCACTCCTCAGCCCCATCCCAGGAGAAAAAGGAAGGTTATCATCTAGTTTTCTGTATGCTAGATTTTGCCATTGCATTTACTATTTTTAAATAACTAGGTGCTGGAGCACAAGCAGAAAGTCCTATGTGAAACAACAGTACTGGAAAATTACCTAGACACAGTCAATACTGACAATGGATTTACATAAGGAAAGGAATACACAGTTACTTAGATCCTGTTTATGTGGGGTTACGAGAGAAAGTTAAGCCAAATTAATTAATGGTATGAATTCAAAGTGCGTTAGTTAAATCCCATTAAACCCCTGTGTGGAATGTCTCGGTGAGAAGCAAAATGGCCTTAGTTCTGTTAAGCTTCATTTTCCTCTTAAGGTAAATATTGGCCACTCTTAAAATGATCCAGTTATGCTTCCACCCTTCAGCACGGCAGTTTCTGTGTCCTGATTTTGAAGAAAAAAAGTGGTTTAAATTGAGATACTGTAATTATTTTTCACTTAGCAAAAATATATTTCTTTTTTTGATCTTCTGAACGAGTAGGTAATTTAGATCATTCTACTTCACTGCTCCTCTCTTCAGAGGTACTGGGAAACATTAGGCAGCCTCGAAAAAAAATAAAAACTTGTTGCCATAATATTCCTAGATCTCAAGAAAGCTTGTTAATTAACAATATTAATATTAGTCACAATACAATGTGATAAAATGTGTTGGGTCCCCATGGTGCAATGTAGAGGTTTTCTGTTTGCTTTTTAAATTAGAACTTCATTAACGCTTTGTAGAGCCACAATGAGAATTCACTACCCTGTATCAGACTGTGTATTGTGTTAATAACAGAATGCCTGGCTTCCTTCCAGTTTGGTTCACATCTCTCTCTTATTAAGAAGATACCTAAAAGAAGAACCATGGTCTCTATCGTCTCATGCAACAGAACCATTTTATGGGGTAGTTTTGAGGGGTAAGAGAACTTTGAATTTGTTTTTTCTTTTGAAAGAAGACAGTTAACTCTATCCCAGCTGAAACCAGGACACCTACATTAAAGCTACATTTATTCATCGTATAATACTCAAGATGACGTAAAACTAACCTAGAAAACCCCTTCACAAAAGTGAAGTCAAAAACTTAAGACCATTAGTTCATGATCTAAGACTTTCTCATATTTGTAGTACATATTTTTACAGCCCACTTAAAATACAGCTCTTGAATGTCCAATCAGGTTACCGCAAACTACGCTCAGTGGAAGTCATGACCTCTTCCTGACTTGGAGGGAAGACTTCACACACAGAAGTTCACAAAACTGTGCACTGCAAGAGAATGCTCACTGTTTTCAAAAATTCTCCTTAGAAATTCTTTTTTTGGTGAATTTCTACGACTATTTATTCCAGAGAGGACAAAATACTGTATTTGTACAGAGTCCAAAATGAGTCTACAGTCCAAAATGCGTCCAAGAAAATATTGTGTAGGACTATCCCTGTAAATATGCAAGTACACAAGCGGACTATTGTCTTTCCAAGAAACTATTTTAACTTTGGTAGTACAAAAGCCCTATAAATGTTTCTGTATATTCAGAAGGCAGCCTTCACACATCAATAGACTGGAAGCATTCCTGGAATAAAAGTCTAAAGAAAAAGATGCCAGGAAGTAATACTGTAGGTCCTGTGAGTAGTACAGGCAATTTTGGTAGTCATAAAACAGGCATTTGAAATGCACAGTGTAGACCCAAATCAGTCTTACGAAGTAAGTGAATGTATAAAGCAAGCCAGGACAACAGGTTCTAACTGAACTGCTCATTGTTCAATTTTATTAAAAATAGTGTACATTATCAAGAATACACAACATTTTCCTCAACTGCTCATTTCAAATCTGAGACCAGAAGTGCACTGAGGATGAATCACAGAATCATAGAATGGTTTGGGTTGGAAGGGACCTTAAAGATCATCTAGTTCCAAGCCCTCTGCCACAGGCAGGGACACCTTCCACTAGACCAGGCTGCTCACCCACCCCAGCCTGGAACACTTCCAGGGATGGGGCATCCACAACCTCTCTGGGCAACCTGTTTCAGTGCCCCACCACCCTCATAGTGAAGAGCTTCTTTCTTACGTCTAATCTAAATCTACCCTCTTTCCGTTTAAAGCCATTACCCCTTGTCCTGTCACTACATGTCCTTGTAAAAAGTCTGTCTCCAGCTTTCCTGTAGGCCCCCTTTAGGAACTGGAAGGCTGCTATAAGGTCTCCCTGGAGCCTTCTCTTCTCTGGGCTAAACAACCCCAACTCTCTCAGCCTGTCTTCATAGGAGAGGTGCTCCAGCCCTCTGATCATCTTCATGGCCCTCCTCTGGACCTGTTCAAGCAGGTCCAGAGGAGGATGAAAGAGCTGCAGAAAAACTTAGTGGTTTAAAATGGTCTCCTTAGCTTTATCTCTTCTACTGAAACTCAGATACTGGTGGCAAATGCTATGAGAAGACAAGAATAACTGCTGACATAGTTGAAACTTCTGAAGAAGCAGAAAAGTGAACAACCACATGCATAAGTGAACTGGTGGCTCTGCCGTTCTGATTAAAGAGCTATGGAAGCAGCTGGGTATAACTAAAAAGCAACGGTACAAGCTATTGTCTCTTCAGTCTTCAAAAATATTTTAGTTTTGCTCCTAAGAAGAGGTCTATTCTTTAGGCATTTCACAACGTGCACGCGTATCAGTAATGCAATTGAATATGCACATCTAGAGTATCAGAAAAGTACATCGTGCCAGATTTACCATGGTAAATCTTGTCATTGTGTCCACTGTTACATAAATAACAAAATCTATACCTAGCAATGCAGCAGCTCTCAGCAAAACTTTCTCGTTGTTTTTCTTTGTTTACAAAAAAATGCTTGCTTTTAAACATAAGTGATGGTGGTAATTCTTGCAAGAGCTAGCTTAGGAACTCTACTTTAGGGTAAATTTAACTTGCCATTTTCTCAAGATTCTTGACAAAAGCTACAATTCAGATGTACTCGGTCAAATGAACCAAAATCTTAAAGGTGTTTTAACATGAGGGGCAGTTTAAATACCATCTCAAAAGACTTTGAGGATACAAAATTTTTTACTACTCCTAATATATGATTTAGGTTGCAAATTAAAGGTAGTAGAAATTTCTTCACACTTGCTTATTCCACAAAGTTCTCATCTCAAACTGAACCATAATTTCAAGTGTTAAGAAAAAAAAAAACATAAAAATAAGTCATACAAGAAAATTCCTTAGTACCAACATCACCTATCACATTTTACACTACGGAAGGAAGATGAAAAAACAAGCACTATGGCACCTGTTTATATCTTTTTTTTTTTTTTCATGATAGGAGAACTGCAGTGTCTTCTACAGCTAGATATGCTACAAATCCCGCTTTAGCATGATGGCACTTCAGAAGGTGGAGGCAATTTTATTTTTCTTTAACAGGTTAGGTGTGCAAAAAATTGAGACTGTCCTGCTTTGTCCATGACATCATGACTCCTGTAAGCATTTGAGGTATTTAAACGTAACAGCCCCTGCTTACATGGGAATGAACAGATGGCAAGACATTCACAAAAGGTCCTCAACCTCGGGAATCATTTTATCCTGATCTGTCATACATGAATATGTTTATATTTCAGATAACACTGATGTTCCTATCTTTATGTTCCTCTGCACCTGCCTCACCTCTGCTGTCTCTGTGATCTCTTCATATTTGCTTGTAATTGAAACAGCTCTCAAACATTAATGGAATTTTTGTAAGCTTATATAAATGAAACTGTCATTAAAACAATCTCAGCACCAGATGCAACAATTGGTCTTCTGCAAATAATTGAGTCAACATGATATTTTCACGTCGAGTTCACCTGTTAAAAGTAAACTAGTTCCTCTCTCTCATCCCAAGCAACGTATAATGCTCATTAAATACAGACTGGGGAGTTTGGCAACTTTGCTTCAAGTGCTTCTGGCAAGGGAACAGAATCCTAGCAAAAGGATCTGAGAAAGCATTTCTGAGATGGCCAAGCTTAACAAAACTATCTGAGAAACAAAGTTTCTGAGATGGACAAACTATAAGTTCTTGGTCCTTGAAGTATTTGAATTCTACTGTTTATTATTATTCTCTGACTGTGAAAGATCTGTTCAACATAAATAAGAGGAATTTCCATGTAAGTTTCAGGTTCCAGAAAATCATGCTTACACCTCCCCTCTGAAAAATCAAAAATTGGCAAGACTTGAAATATTTCATTCAATATAAGTAGCTTCTCATACAAAAGAAGAAATGCACCCATAAGAAAGGAGTTTCTTCCACATTCACTCAGCTCCTGCTGCTTCCTATCTTTTCCAAAAAGGTAGCCAATACTCCTTGCGGACGTCCCAGGCTGCTACAGTAGCTTTTTAATCAAGAGTCATCTATAGAGTCTTCCACTTAAAACATTCTGCTTCCTAAGTCCAAAATGACTAAACTTCTTTTAACTGGACTGACTATATAAAAACAATACCATGAAAATTTTGCTTCTCATTTAAGGTATTTCTCAGGCTAGCATTTTATTAACTAGTGCAAATCAATGATGAGTACAAAGTGGAGACAGAAAGTAAATCCAACAATGGGTTCTGTTACTATGCATTTTATTTCTTAACTAGCACTTTCTCATTTTTTCTTACTAACAACCATCTGCCTCAAAACGTGTATATACAGCAAGATGTTTTGTTTTGCACACAAAAAGTTATGCTAAAACCACACAAAAGTTAGATCAAACCTTTCTGTGTGTTGTGGTGTCTTTATCTATTATATGATAGCATGCTTTTTTTCTACAAGTACTGGCATCATTCAGTACATGGTAGCTATTATTCACTGAAAAGCTATTTCAATATTTTGTTTCCTCCTAATTGTTTGTGTGAGATGCCATGTGTAGTCAAACACTGAAGACAGAATTATTAATTTACTCATGGGTTTTCTTATGGCACTCGTAACTCATAAAAATGTCCAAATCTTCATAATGAATATACTTTCACAACACTCCGGTGAAATCAGATGGTGTCATAATCTTACCATCAGATTCATTCCTCTACAGATGGGAACCCATGCAGTGAAAGATTAAGGTCAAAAACATCTAGTAATTTTTAACAGCCAACTTGAGATGCCAAGACCTTATCTTGCAGAATATTTAGCATTATATTTAGCTAGTGCTGCTATTAACTGACAGCTATTGTTGGATCTCTCATTCTCAATACGGATCACCCCTTCATAAGGCAAAGCAGCAAAGTGTGGTTAGGGGTTCACAAATATCTCTTGACAACAATACTGAGGTTCAGAAATTTTGGTTCGTTTCTGAATGGCAGCACATGCTACCAGTTAAGAAATCTTCAAGTCACAATCTGTTTATTCCTTTTTTGTTAAACTGCACCTCGATGCATTTCCTAGCAGCTCGTTCTTGTTTCTTCACTTTGAGACACCTGCAGTATCCAAGCTTGGCTGAGACCTCTGCCCAGCCAGACTGGATCTTGGCTACCTATCTAAATCCCTCATGGTCTCACAGATTCCTCTGCTATTCTCCCCCCTGCTGTCTTGGGAGTCACAAGAGAGTGAAGATACAAAAGTATTTCCTCTAATTTGTCACCAAATCTCAACACAAATGCAACAACTAAGAGTAGAAAATGGAGGAAATGTATTAAGTAGACCTGACTGGGAATATTCTTAGGTCAAAAACCTTAGCTACCAATACATAACAAACATGGCATCTTCAGACTTAAAGACTTCCTTCCCCCCTAGGTATTTAAAGTTTGACTAATTTAGGACAATATTTTCATTGAAACAGCAAATAGCACCTTGCTGACATAACAGCCAAGTTTCAAAGCCTTGCTCTAAAGCAAGGGGCACCTGCACTCCTACATTTACATATGAAGTGCTCTATTTACTAATGTTTTTTAGAGACATTAAAGTATTTTAAAGAACATAATTTATCACCCCACTGTCAGAAATCGCTCTCCACTTCTGTGAAAGTTCCACAAAAAAAAAAAATTTAAAAATATCAGCCTTGAAGCAGACATTTGGAATGGAAAAAGTCTCAGCCTTAAGGGTCAAAATTTGGCGAAATTAGAGTTACCCAATGTGAAAGTTTACTGTGGCCCTAAGTACAGGCAATGGTACTAGCTCTTGTTTTAACTAGAGAATTTGCTCTTGTTCTTGAACCTGTAAATCGACTAGATACTGCTTTATTCTTTATTCCCCAAAGCCACTTCAGTACTATTATTTGTTCAGAACAGAAACCTTTTAAGTATCTTTCTGTCTAATTCCTAATGAGCAATTTTCAAGTTTGACAGAATACTGAAAATACAGCAGGGGAATATTATGAGAAAGAGTAAAGAACACTACTTAGAGATGAAATAATCACTAGTCCTAAATTGTAAGCCAGTCATGCAAAGTTGTTTTTTGTAGCGCAGCTTAGTGGATGACTCCCTCACACATACTGCTACATATTTACTGCTAACTCTCTGCAACTAAGACATTTAAACTGAGCATGCACAGGACTTTCCAAAAGCATCTTACAATGTTTACAAAATTACTCCATTGTGTATTGCCCAGAATACACAGATAACTTGCCAGTTCAGAGAGACAGTCAAAAATATTCCCACTTGTCATGGTTTCCTCTGCTGTGTGCCCATCTTTTGTTTCCTCTGCTGTTAAATTTTAAGAAACATGCCATTAGCAATGTGGACAATGAAGGACTTCCCACTTTCACTACTGGCAAGAAAACGTCAGAATCATTTGTTTCGTCTTGACTTATTTTTGGTGTCTCATTAACTCTGTCTTTTGTCTGTTTTGAACCTTTCTGTGATATAATAATCAAACTGATTGATTGTACACCTCAGGAACAAATAGTATCTATGTAACAAAGTGGAGCTTTGGTCTCCAATTAGAGGATGCTGCAAGAAGAACCACCTATGCCACTGGAGGATTATTTTTTCTACAATGACCAGGGAGGGAGCCTTAGAAAAAGAAAAAAACATATTCTCCTACAGCACTAGAAAAGAGACAAAATCCTCAAGTCATATCCTTCAGCTAATATATCTACAGGAGTTCATACATATTGGGGAAAAAAACCCCATAATTGCTATAAACATGGCAGTAGCTACTTTTTTCTTCCTAAAATTCTGCAGTATGTCTTTTAGCAGGTGGTATGTCCAGATCCAATGTAGTAACGGACTTCACAGGTAAGCTGAAAATACTGCTTGCTGACTTGTAAAGCACATTTAAAAGAAAATACAGTATATATACAATTTAATAATTTGGTCTGTTGTGACTCTAATGCAATATTTTAATTCTACAATGTCCTTGCACTTCAACAAGGACGTCAACAGGATACATCATCTGTTTATGCTATGCAAATATCCTAGATACAAAATTAGTTTTGAGTTTTACTATATACACAAGGACATCTCTTGAAAACAGTAGGGAGTAGCAGATTTGTTCCTGGAACTGAATTTTATTTCTTTAAGATTAACAGACATTCCACGCTAAAACAGCATGCAGCAGAGAACACAGATTAATTGGGTATAAAAATCTGAGGGCTACCTGACTTTAATTTTTCAATTTACCCAAGAGACTGAAGAGTAGAGATGTATTTTATCAACTCAAGCAATAATAACACTTAGATAGAAGTGTAAAGTCTGAGAAAGATAAACTGTAGTTCAAACTTATAACTGATCAAAGCAGATCCATTCTCAGATTGTCACACAATCCCTGAAAACAGTTCAATGTCTGCAAATAAATAAAAAGTCACTGACACATGGGAGAAAGGAGATGTAGAGTCCTCCAAACACAGGTACAAATGCATTCAGAAAAGGAAAGCTACAAGAAAAGACCTTTAAAAAAGGCCTGTAGCTGAGAGGTTTCCTTTGCACAGAAGCTAACTGGCACCTCACTTACCTTGGTTTGGTTGCATGTTCATGTTTGGTCTGGGACCGTAGTTGCCCATTGGCTGTCCCTGGCTCATAGTCATCTGATTCTGCACTGGCATACTCTGCGAGGATGGCACTGAGTGATTATAGCCACCCATTGACCCATGGCTACTTGAAGGCATATTCATGGAACTGTTTGTCATATTGAGTTGGTTAGGTCCAGGTCCTTGCATAGGCATATGGTTAGGTCCTTCAGAACGAGACAGGGAAAAAGGTTCTACATTAAGTATCATAAAACAAGCAAATATAGTCATACTGAGTCACAAAACTTAATAAAAGTAATTAAATACAATTACATTTAAAACAAGGCTAAACCAGAGTTTGCTCATGTTTTCCCAATTTAAATTAAAAAAAAGTTAACGAAGTTCAGCTCTACTATGCAATACATTTTCTTTTGTTGAGCGGCTGAAGCTACTACAACAAGGGTGTAAATTATCATATAGCTCATTTTATATCCATTGTCATATGCAAAACTATCCTTTTTAGTACTTGCACAACATACCCTGAATTTCAACCTGAATTGCACAAGATCAGTTTAACAGCCAGCTTGGTGGCTCTATCACAGCTATATAATTGTTACAATAGCTGTAACATTTCCATTTATTCAAACAAACCATACTATACACTTTTCTGAAAGTAGCAGTTAATACTTTTCTTTTCCAAAAGTCAGGCAGTATTAACATTGACATGGTACAAATACATGTAGAATAAAAATGGCTGAAGGCATATTTAACATTGTTTGAACATATAATCTACAGCCAATATTCTGCAACTGTGTTTACAGGTTATTAGGGTGGGAGATGATGACTGGAAGGACAGCCATCAAGTTATCACCTCACCTCTCATACCTGCAAAGATGCAAAGGAAGAGCAACCTGTTCATATACCCATGAGGCCAACTACATCTCTTCACCCTTTATCTCCCCTCTTCCTGACAACACAGGTTGGAATTGGATTGTTCTCTGAATTAAATCTACCCTCAATGGGTATTTTAAAAGTATAAACGTTACAATACCATCTGATCAGTTTACTTACTACTTCAGCTGGGTTAAGTGAGCAGCTACTAGGAGTAAAATTAGTAAGAGGTATGACTGGATATAAATATGACAAGTGAAAACAGTAAATGAAATGCAAGAATTATGTATTTGACAAGCACCACATGAAGAGTTTAC